CTCTCTCTCTCTCTCTCTCTCTCTCTCTCTCTCTCTCTCTCTCTCTTTGTCATTATCATTAAAATAATGAGTAATGAATTTATGAAAAAGAAAAATCCATTAAGATTTGCGTTTATTTTTTTTTTTGGTATGGTAGAATATCATTAAAAAAAAATTTCGATTTCAAGTTGTAAATTGAATACTTTTTCCATAAAATAAAAAATAAAAAACATTTACGACAATCATCATTATCATTTTGATGATGATGATTATTATTATTATTATTATTGACATTGACCAAAACATTGGACAATGAACAACATTAAACAATTTTGGACAATTGGTCTTGTGATTGTAAATCTTTCATATAAATTCATTCATGATGCAATAGACATCAACAACAACAACAAATTACCACATTTTAATATCTTTTTGTCTGATTGAATCAATTCTATTGGTGAAACCGGATTTATATTCATCAACAGTAAATTTTTTTTCGTACTTGCATGAATGTTTTTTTTCCCACATGAAAAAAAAATGAATTTTCTTTTCATTTTTTTTTTCTTCTATATTTGATCCGATTGACAAGACATTATTTTCAAGATATTCTTTCATCAAGAAACAAAAAATGAATTGAATGAACCGAAGGTCAATTGGTTTGGATTTTTTTTTGTTTTGTTTGGCTAAGTGTGCGATTTGTATTTAGCATTGATATAACGCGATTCAAACAAATTGATCATCAAATTTTTTTTTTACAATGAATAAAAATCATTTCCTTTTTTTTGAAAAAAATAATAATAATTTTAAAATAATTTGTCATATTCGAACAAATCACGATTTTCTGAATCAATCAATCAATTACAATCGATGATTGATCGGTGCATATTTATTGATTGTAATTTCTTTTAAACAACAGAGAAACAAAAATAATAGTTTGTATTATTTATTCCATACGAGGTCACATGGATTTGGATATTGTATGAATGAAAATAAAAATATGTTGATGATGAATTCTAAAGTATTCATTTGATAATTCCAAATGGTTAATATTAATTGTCCATGTATGGTGAATGTGATGATGAACCATTAACGACTAGTTCAATTGAATGAAATATTCATTAAATTCTATGTTTTTTCTTTTCTTATGAAAAATCACGATATTCATGCAATACAACAGGTGCAATCAATGCCCACAAATAGATTAGACCAGAAAACCATGATGATATCATTTTGATCCATAATGAACTGCTACTTTCACCAAAATGTTTATATGATTCTTGTGGTCTATTTAAATTGAAAATATTTTAATTTAGTAAGCAGATCAAATCACAAATCATGTAAATAACTTACGTAAACCAATTTGTAATGGTCATCATTAGGTAAAGAGTACCTAATGCCAATATCCAATAAAATGCTGGCCAACTGGAATAATTATCCCGATCTTCTTCTCCTATGCAATGTTTTGAATGATGATTAAGATGATTGTGCAAGACATATTAAAGAGAGAAAAAAAAGAGAAAAAACCCAAAAAAATCAGTCAATCAAATTATCGTTTACATGATGAAAAGTGAATATATAAAAAAAAGAAAAAGGAAAAATCAATGAGCACTTAGCAAATTCAAGCTATTAGTCTATCCTAATGTAATTAATGTGAATTCATTAACGAAAAAAAATACTAACTTGAATCATCACCAGTCAATCGTGTTGTTGAAGATACTTTTTGAAATAAAGAAAATGAAAAAACATGGGGAAAAACAAATTAGATTCTGAGGAAACGAAAATAATGGATTTATGAAAAATTTCCTATCACTAAAATTCATTCTTTTGCATAATTGAAGCAGTTGAAAACAAATCAAGAATTACAACAACAAAAATTCATCTTTTTTTGAATGTCCAATATGATAATGAACTACTTACCAGAAGCATTTCCACCAGTTTCATGATCATCATTTGAAACACCAGTAATACGTTCCATACCAGATTTAGTTGTCAAACGAATACTTGAATATATGACACAAACAAAACATATTAATAATGAAATAAATGATTGTCCATCCATTGAACCATTGGTTGCTGTCCAAAATGTTGGTTTACATTCCTGTTGTGGTGATGAATTTAATGCTGACCATGTCATATATGTTAAATATAATGCTAATGTTGATGCTTGTAATAAACCAGATTTTGGATTATCTATTAAAATGATTAATATTGTAATAATTAATTAAAAAACTGAAAATTTTCATATTAAAATACTCACATTCTTGAACGCTAGGTAAAATAGATACCAATGATAGACTAACAATCATAATCATATTGATTGAGATTAAAAATTTATGCAAACTACAGCCGCTACCACCATAATAGACATAGAATAGAATAATACCAATAGCCGATAATATATAATTAGCTAAACTTATTGTCACAAGTAAACATAATGGTCCACGGCTATCGGAATCTTCCATACGTGATACTAATTCATCGGCCACTTCATCAGCAAACAATATAAGAAAACATACTTGAATCAATAGATAAAGAAATGATCCGATAAAGCCAAAATTTTTCCAAACTTTTTCAAATAAAAACAAACCAATAATCAATCAAATCATTTTTCAATAGTATATTTTTATTTACCCATTCCAAATGAACTATCGCCTGGAATATAGAATGTACCAACAATTCCGGCAATCAAAATAATAAATTTTATTGGCCAAAATCTATTCGAAGAAGAGAAATTTTCAGTCAATAAATTCGAACCGGAAAAAAAACATGTTTACCCTCGATGCCATGCAACTCTTGGATCGCTTGAACGTCGTACACGAATCATTAATAAACCGAATATGACAAAAAACATAAATGTAGCAAACATTAAACGATATACGGCCAAATATCCAGTCACTTCTTTACAAATATTTTCTTTTGGTGCAACAGTACTAGTTTCTCGACCGATGAACAAATTTGCTGCTTCTTTTAATGAATCCAAAGTATCACCCACCAATGGTGTTTTTGTCCAACAAAACGGTACTTTAGATTCTAACCAATTTGATACATTCGGTTGTGTCATAATCCAACCGGTTATTGTTACCAACAATAACATAAATGAATACATAATTCTTGCACCAATAGCCGGTGTTATACAATTAAGACAGCTACATGCTGTTGATGCAGCACAACAGGCCAACTGAATTTAATTTATCAAAATTTTAAGAATGAAAAATGAAAAAAAGATAATGAAATTCGAAACAAATAAATGAAAAATTACCTGGCCCATTCCACAAACGCTCAATAGAGCACCCATTTTAATCGAATTCAATTAGTGAAATCAAAATCAAAAATTTGAAGAACAAAAAAAATTACAAACGAAAATCAACCAAAATAGAATAAAAATCAAAAAAATGATGAAGAAATTAGAATCATCAAACAACGCAGTTTATTCGAAGTAAACAAAGAAACTCAATAATAATTTATTCATTCAATCAATAGATGGCATTAATTACAAATTTTTTTCTCTTTTAAATTACGAATTCAAAATTCATTTTGATGATGAATTAACATTTTCGACTACTTCCCATAATGATTCTATAGTAAAACCATCTTTAATATTTTCAATTGATAAACCAATATTTGGATCATATGTCCATTGATGTGTACGTTTTTCCGATGATTCATCTTCGGCAAGATATGCTAATACTGGATCATAACCGCTTATACTATTATGACCACTCTTACGAGTTTCTTCATTATCACCATTCTCATCAAATAATTCATTATAATTTCCGGCATTTTCGGTCGAACGATTCATAAACATCATTGAATTCGGATCATCAAATTCACCAGCATTGTTTGTCGAAGAATTTACAGTAAAATCCATACCGGCCATCGTTAATGATTGATGTACACCAAAATCCGGATTGGCTACATGAACCATATATAAATTATTCAATTCCTCATAAACAGAATTTAATTTATCTACTGGATCAACACGAAATCCAAGAACATAACCACCAGATAATTCACTGGATTCAATAACCAAAGCTAAACCAAATTTAGAATCACGAACTTTAACATTTCGTATCTGTATATATGGTAATGATATATTAAACAATTCATTGATGTTTGCATGCCAAACAATACGAATATTTGTCAAATACATAGTACCAAGATTTCCTTGATCCGATGAAAGATTCCATACACCATTAATAACATTATAAATCTGTTCGGATGGTAACATTTTTAATTGTTTTTGATCAATCGACATGATTGCCGATCGAAGACGTAAATCACGAAATAATTTTGTTTGAACATATGCCTTACAAATACGACTAACCATATCTATTATATCTTTCGATACACCAGGTATTGGTTCTAAACTAATAAATATAAATTCATAACGTGTACCATTTACTTTAGTCATCATATATAATGATTCATTTTTACCACGTAGTTTTGTATGTATCATTCTACTTGTTAATGTTGATATACAACTAAGACCAATACTTAAATTAATACGTGGTTTTTGTAATGATTGCCATATTAAACGTAAATTTGTAACAGCTAATCGACCAATTTCACCAGTATTACCTTTTGTATCTTCAACTTTTGGCCATTGTTCAATTAATTTTTCACCACTACGAAATGATAATTCGGATGATTGTGCATCGAAACGTATATCACGATCTTGCCATAATGATTCAAATCGTTGTCGTTGCATTTTTTTTGTTGATTATTATAATAATTGTAAATTTAACGAAATTATGTATTTTACATATTTTTGAATATTGTTTTTTTTTGTCTTTCTTTGTTTTTATTTGGTCATCGTTACCAATGGTAACAGTATTATTCTCCGGTTAGTATTCAAGCCCTAACATATTACATAATCTTTTTGTTTGAAATTTTATGATAAGCGATGTGCCATCTATCGTCGTTTTTTTTAATTGAAGAAAAAAAATTGGATTTTGCGCAATAATGATTCTACAGCCAAAGCAGAAACAGAAAACAATTTTCAGTTTAAAATTCTCTTTTTCTGTTTGTTGTTTGCGTTTGTTATCTGTCTGTTTTCTGTTTTCTGTTTGTTGTTGTTGTTGATATTGTGATAAAACACGATGATGATGATGACAGCAAACGAATCTGCTGCTTTTCGTTTGTTTGTTTGAATTTCTTCACATAAAAATCCAATGAGATCCAATGAACTAATGTTGTTGTTGTTGTTGTTTGATAACAGTATTCGTAAGTATGCGCGCGCACATTCATTCTATTAAACAAGTGTATCCGCGTGAAACAAGAGAACAAACCAAAATGAATGAAAAAATATAGGGAGAAATGATGTTGGTGATGGATGGATGGATGTGAATTGTAAACATAAACATAAACAGAACAGAGAAAGAAAACTTAACGAAATTAAAACGCAAAAAAAAAATGATTTTTTGGAAATTTAAAGAGAAAAATAAAAGTAAAAACAGACTGCACAGACTGAGAAACCAAAAAACAAATCCGCCTCCACCTCGATCTTTTTTCTCTTTTTTATCGTTGTTTTTTTGAAAAAATACGACAAAGATCAACTGAAAATTTGAGAAAATTTTATCCAATTTTGTTTTCTGCGTTTTACTTTTTTTTTGTTTCAAAAAGTTTTCACCATCTTCCAAACATCCCAACAACAACAGCGATAATATTCGTTTTTTTTCATTTAAAGCGCCAAAATATTTGATAAATTTGAAATTAACCAGAATTTTATGATATTATGAAAATCTGGTTGAATGAAATGAAATTCTTTTTCTTTTTTAATTATATAGAAAAAGGTAGTAGTTGAAAGAATTAAAACTGGATCCAGGAATCAATATGATCATCATATAGAATCTTTTGTAAATGTTTTTTGTTTTGTTCTTCTCGTCCGATTTGTATAACTCATCCTTGAATTTTTTTTTTGTTTTGTTTTGTGTTTTTATTGAAAAATAATTTTTCTGTAAAAAAATATTTCAAAAATTCCCAAATAAAAATTGTCAGATTTAAATTTTAAAATAGAAAAAAAAAGTTTAATTTTTTTCTTTGAATATTCTGCCAAATCAAATCATCATCATCATCATCATCATGATTTGAATGAAACAAATGAAAAAATGTTTTTCTTTCCTTTCCTTTCCCAATTCAATGACTATTGAAAAATTCATTTGAAAGTTTATGTTTGTGTATGTGTATTATGTCTACGACGTAGTTTTTTCGAAAATGAAACTGTTGTGATTGTTTTCCCATTAAACGAATTGATTGGATGATCGATCGATCAATGGATAATGGAATGATCTTATTTGGGATAATTTGTGATAACAAAAAAAAAGCAAAAAAATTCTGAAAAATAACCATGGCATCCACAACAACAACAGCAACAGCAACGAAACATCATCATTCAACAACATTATCATCAAAATCACCGACAACAACAACAACAACAACATCTGAAACAAAATCACCATCATCAACAATACATAAAATCAATCGAATTAATTATCGATCAATGAATAATATTAATACATCAATAATACGTAATCGTCATCGACCATATCGTCGTACAACATTAACATTTGTTGATGTTATTATACAACGTTATGGTGTTGATGATGTTGTTGGACAATTTGAAAATTGTCCATTTGAAGTATTTGTTCTGGGTGGTATTTCACCAAGAAAATCCGGTAAGTAACAACAATAACAACAATGAAAAAATTCTTTAAAAAATTTAATTCTTTCATTTCAAGGTTTTAACCTTGTTTTGTTTTGTTTTTTGTTTGTCTTATTCTTTCTTTTTAAATCATTGAAATTCTTTATTTTAAAGAATTTCCTAATTATATTCTCTTTTTTCTCTTTTTATTATTATTTTTTCATTGAATCATTGCCCAATAACAGACAGATCAATGTTAGAAATAGAAAAATCAATGTTATCCTTCAAAAATAAAACAAAAATTGAATGTAAACTTGTTAACAAAAAAAAACCGCCAAATATATTATATACGCACGCGACATTGCTCCAATTTCATCAAAAATATCAACAACAACAACAAAAAATTGTACAACAACTCTAAACATCATTGATGATGATGTTCTTGATTTGATTGAGTGGAATGTGTTTTCTATTTTCTATATTCATTACATCACATGGTAATCATATGATGATGATGATGATGATGCTTAGATGCTTTGGACAAGCGTATATGTACGAACATAACGATATAGGCAATATAAGTAATCATTTGACTTGTCATTCAATTTTTGGGAATAAAAACTACTACAATAAACTATAGCTAAAAGTAGTAATAAAGACAATAATAATTTTATAAATGCCTGTTGCATTCCCTTTTCTCTCTCTCTCTCTTTTTTCCCCCACTAAACCAAAGAAAACAGTTATATTTTTCCCCCACTAAACCAAAGAAAAACAGTTATATTTTTTCCCCCCGTTTACACAATGTGTGTGTGCACGTACAACGTATTTTATTTCAAAATAAATAATATACAAAAAAAAAGAAAAAGAAAAACAAGCTTCTATTTCAATCTTTGGATAATAAATTTTCTTTTGCTAAAGAATTATTACGAAAAAAAGCAACAAACAACAGCAAAAACAAACACTGTTGGAATTTGGAAACTCAAGGTTGACAATCATGTGTGTTTGTCTTCATCTTCATATCTTTATAATCATAAGGTTAAGGTATCATTGTTTTTTCTTGTTTGATGCTGTCAAAGATTTATTACTTTTTTCACTTATAATAATGAAAAAGAAATGATTTTCCAATCCAAAAAACATGTTTTATTGATAGATTTATTCATTTTTTTTAGTTTCTGTTTGATCGTCAAAACAGAAAACTTACCTTTATGTTTTTTTTTTGATCCAAAATGTAATAAAAGTCAAAACACACATTACACAGCAGTAGCAATTATCACACACACACCTGTAGCATTTTGAATAAATGAAAATTTTTTTTCACACAAAATATTTTGTTTTTCCTCCCCCTCCGGTAATTATATCCGATAATTATGATGTTGATAATGGATAATGGATAGATAATTTTACCACCACCACCACCATTATGTTATCCAGGTGTGTACGTGTGTTTCAAACAAACAAACAAACAAAAAAACATCGATAATTTTTGATACTTTTTATCAAGAAAAGAAAAATTACATTGAAAAAAATAACGGAAATACCAAAAAATGAATGAATGAATTTCTGATTCTTTTAACTATTAGGGTTTCAATCCTGTTCTCTTTTTTCCTTGGGTTTTAAAATTTGAGAAATTTGTTTTGTTTTGTTTTCATTATTATTTTTCTCCAAAACACCTACGATTTACGGAACAGGAAAGTAGCTGTATATTTTTTTTTGGTGTGTGAATAGGATTTCATTTTTTGTTTCTTGCAATTGCTTGCCATGCATCAAACTCACTCAAAAGATATTCATAATGAATGATTGAATGAATGAAAAAAATCCAAAACAAAAGAAGCTAGCAAAAACAAAATGAATTTTTATTTTTTATTTTTTTTCGCTGAAGAAACCATTCAAGGAAGAATTTTTTCTTCTTCTTTGCTTATAGCCAAACCATTCAAATTTTTCACCTTCAAAATGTCATAAGATTTTTATTTTTATTTTTTCAATTTAAAAAATGTGAAATATGAGCTATTAATAAGCATCAACAACACCTACTACTAATGAAACAAAAAAACAACATTAACATTATTCAGTATTTTCGGGAAAAAAAACAAAAAATGTAGGCAGGTAAATAGATAGGTTTTGAATATATTTACATTTTAATTGACGTTTATATTTAGCATCTTCATGGTGACATTTTTGTTTGTTGAAAATTTTTGTTTGCCCTTTTTTTCCAAAAATTCAGGTAGCTGGTATACTTCCTAGTTGTTGTTGTTGTTGATTGTTTTGTTGTTTTCTTCTTTTCGTTTCGACCGATGATCCCGATGTTGATGATGATGATGATGCAACAAAAAAAACAATCATCATCGTCATTAGTTTTTATTTCCTATGTTTATCTGATCAATTGTACAGGTGTGTGTGTGTTCGTTTGTTTGTTTGTTTGTTTGTCAAAACGATTTATTACGTATTTGTGATTGTGGGTGGATGTATCGATTTGATTCACTTGCCAATATGACAATAAATTTTTTTTTTGTTGAGAATTTTTCTTGCCCCTTTAAAACAGAATTAATTTTTTTTTTCTTGAAAAATTTCCTTGTTTTGTCTTTTATTCGGTTCACACACACACACCTTCAACGATAATGTTTATCGATTTTATATGCTTGTTTATCTTAGGGATGTCTCTTTTGGCCATTATCATAAGCAGGCATTAATGATGCGGAAAAATTATTTATTTAGTTTAGTTTTTTTGTGTCCCATTCATTTATTTACACAAATATTTTACTGTTCATTCAAATTTTCATTTAATATTTATTTGACCTGAATAATAATTTTCGGTTTGTTTGTTTATTGGATCAATTTTTTGTTGTTGTTGTTGTTGAATTGATTGATTGATCAATTAAATCGATTGATTTTTCTTTGGTTTTTGTCGTCTTTATCTTGGTTTTTGGTTTTTATTTTTCATTTAATTTAAAGGTTATCCAAATTGATTGGGTATAGATTATCGATCAATTGATTGGAAAATATTTAAACAATGCAAAATGAAAAATGGAAGGGAAAAGTCAAAAATCTATCGAAATAAGAAAACGAAAAACTTTCATTTTCATTTATGATCGATTTTTATTGACATTTTTAATGGTTTTAAACAAACTAATAACGATTGACATTAAACGAAATGAACAAACATATTTTACAAATAAACAATCGATTGATTGATTGAATGTCAGAAAAAAATGAAAAGAAAATTATTCAATTCTTTTTTTTTTGCTTGAAGATATTCAACAACTACAACAACAAAAATGACTTTATTACAATGAAAATAGAGGAATGATAAAATTGAAACATTTGGATCGGTTTTCTCTCTATTTATCAATCTAGATTGTTGTTGTTGTTACCTTTGAATCAATTTCAACCACAACAACAACATCATTTGAATAAGGCAAAAAAAAATCCATTTCAAAAACATTTTATCGTCTGTGTGATTATTTTGCTGATTTCAAGACTTTGAAACTTTTTTCTATTTCTTATTCATCAACGATAAAAAGGTCATTTGGAAATTTATTTTGCAAACTTTGAAAAAAAGATGTCAACTTTAAAACAACAAAAAATGATAAAAATCAATTTGTAAAATATGAAAAATGATCGTCGTTGGACTTGCTAACTGATTTTTTGTATCAAAAAAAGAAGTTCAAAGTTCAACAAAACATTTTTCATATTCATAACATATTTTTTTTTTTTTTTTTTTGAAATTACATAATGATTACCACCTGTCACCTATATATACATTTAGTGTTGTTTTTTTTATTGCATTTTATCCCTTTCCCCCACAAATAGCAGATGTTAAAATCCTACACACTGTATAAAATGTAATTATATTTCATAAGTTTTAACTTGTTTGTGACAAGTTAATTGTCCTGTTTTGTTGTTTGGTTTTTCTCCTTTTTTTTCAATTGTTTTATCTCAATGTCAAATGTCATGGGTCATGGGACATTATTTAAATGGAGTTTAATTAGCTTAAAAATCATCAACAACAACATAAAAAAAATTTCCTCATTTTGATCAATTAAAGCAGATTAAGATTCAAAAAAGATTCCTTTATTTTCAAAGAAAATCCGATTATGATGGAGCTATATTTACCTTTTTTTTATTTATCAAATAAGAAAAGAAATTCATAAATGATTAACATAAATTAGAACATCTTATCATTAAAAATAACATAACATCCATAATGATTGTAATGATCTGCTTTTGCTTTTAAAAAAATTTAAATTCTCCAACTCTCCATTCATATTGTTGTTGTTGTTTTTTGAAGAAAAAAATTTAAATTTTTTCACCATCAATTTCTATGGAAATCCAATGGATAACAAAATCTTAATCTTTATCTTTATTTTGATAATATCATCATCATCATCATCATCAAAATGGTGACAGATAATATCATCTAATGTATGATAGAGTATAATGGATTCATCTTTTCTTTTCTCTTTTCCCTTTGTATTTGTGTCATTCGATTATCATCATCATCATCATCATCATTTAATGATGATAATAATGGACATTTTTATGTTCTTTTTTTCAACTCTTTTTTTTCTTCCGTATTATCTTCCGAAAGTTGTCTTTTTCCTCAATTATGTTAATATTTTTAGCATTAAAATCAATCAATAAGAATAATTAAAATTTTAAACTTTTCTTTTCTTTTTTTGTTTCAATAGAAAGCACATTATTATTACCACCGGCATTATCATTGAATCAATGTCGTGTAAAAAATGCCGGACCTGAACCGAAAATTCGTGAATTATGTCATAATGTTGAAGAATTAGATTTAGCATCAAATAATATAATCGATATTGATGAAGTATATAAAATTGTACGTGCAATGCCTAATCTACGTTTTGTAAATCTAAGCGAAAATGATCTCTCCAAATGTAATCGTTATTCATCCAAATTTATTGGTTCAATTAATCGACAAAAATTGGAAAAAATTAAATCACTTGTATTGAATAATACACATATACCATGGAGTGGTGTAGAATTATTATTAAATATAATGCCATCAATTGTTGATCTACATCTAAGTCTAAATAATTATGAATCAATACAATTGAATGCAAAGAAAACTTATCCAAATATTAAATTTTTATATCTTAGTGGAAATCCTAAACTATGTAATTGGAATGATATAAAATTATTAATGAAAACATTTCCTAAACTTGAAGGTCTTACAATGGCCGATTGTAATATTATATCAATACCTGAACATGTATTGATACATTTAAAAAATTTAGTCAGCCTTAATATTTCAAATTGGCCAATTAATGAATGGATTTCAATTGATCGTTTAAATCAACTGCCAAAATTGATAAAACTTCGTTGTCAAGGTATACCTATATTGAATAAATTAGATACTGCTGATGAACGACGACAACATTTAATTGCTCGTTTGCCACGTGTTACACGTCTTAACGGTAGTGATATATCCGAAGATGAACGTGTTTTTGCTGAAAGAGCTTTTATTCGTTGGTTTATTGCTAATCCTGATGAATCTAAACCTACAAGGTATGTTTTGTTTTATTTTATTTTTGTCAAAATTATAATATGAATCCAAACTCTTGTCAATATTTGCTACAACAAAAAAAAAATATTTAGATTCTTTGAACTACAGGATATACATGGTCGTGTTGAACCATTAGCCGAAGTAAATTTATCACCACCTAAATATGCAAATGTACGTGTAATATTTAATGATCTAAGTAATGAACAATTGGAAAATGATCAACTAAGCTATGAATCATTAGTGAGACAATGTAAAGATTCACGTTCATTTAAAGTTGATCTAAATAAATCTGTACGAAATTTTAAAGTGCAATTAAGGTATGTACGAATGGATGAAACAAAAAAAAAATTTGATAATGATGATGATGATGATAAACATACCAGAAACATATAATCCAATTATAATTTTGATTTTTTTTCATTCTTTTCTCCCATTCATTCATTATATATCCTGTCAATCATTTAAAATTTTCATTTTGGTTATAAACATCATCAACGTTATTGTTATGCATGATGATAATCGATTTCAACGATTTGATCGACAAAAAAAAATTCCCTGGAAAAAACATAGCTCATTATATAATGTAATACCAACAAATATTCGTGTGTTCTATATCGATACTGAAATGTCCGAATTATTAGGCATCCTGCATATTGAAGAGTTACGTTTTGCACAGAAAAAACTTTATACATATAATGTACAGGATGGTGATGAATTTCTTATCGAAATGAAATGAAATGAAAACACATCATTCAATAATCAAATCATTATCAGTGAAAAAGCAAACAAACAAGTGCAAAATTTTCATTTTGTGAATGATAAACGAATTCAACCAATCCCATGTTCATCATTACATTGTTTTCCGGTGTTTTTTTTTGTTGTGATTTTGTCAATAATGATTATATAAATCATAGGAGATTTTTTTTCTGCCTAAAAAAACCAACAATTCTATTTTGGCCATACATTATTTTGCGATATCAAAACTGATTGTCGTTTTGTTGTTTTGTGACTGTTTTATTTTTTCCGGCAATTTGATTAATAAAACATTCAAAATGAAAATGAAAATTCAACAACAACAACAAACAAGGAATCGAATGAATCATTTGCCTGTTTCGATAAACACAAAATGTAAAGCTTATTTTCTTCAAATTTTGGTCGTGATATAATTTTATTTTTTTTTCGTTTTGTTCAACATTTTAAAACAAAATATTCAGTTTACCTGTTGTTTTCTTGTTTCTTGTTGTGATTTTTTTCGCTTTGCTTTGCTTTTACAATTGGCCATTTTCATTTGCTTTCATTTTTTTTTAATTTTGTTAATTTTTTTTTTGCCATCCCCACAACCAATAACTGTTATCCATAAATATATGATTAGTAGGAATATTTCTTTCATTCTTTCTTTCTTAAAACACACATATGATAAATTTTGTGTAAATGTCAAACATGTATATTATTTGTCTTAAATTGAATAATAAAAAAAATTTCAAATTATAAATTTTTAAAGTATTTTTTTCTTGGATAAAAACCCAATTTAAAGGGGAAAAAAATTTGGATTAAAAATGGCCAATAATGATAATTGAACCTTAACGATGACGATTAATGTGTTTGAGTGTGTGTGTGGATCGGATTGAAAAGATTTTTCAGTGTTATTAACCTTTGGTTGTTGCTGCTGTTTTTTTTTCTTCAGTTAATTATCCATTCATTCATCAATCGATAATTGTAATTTCAGATGATGATAATAATCAACGAAACGATTAAAAAAAAGGAAAATCCTTTTTTTTACATTCATTTTTCTGTTCTCTCTCTCTCTATCGGTATAATACACGTATTTACAATTGTCGTGTAAATAATAAAATCAAATAAAATACGTGCACATTTTTTTCCCCCGTTTTTTTGTTGTTGTTGTTGTCGAACTCTTGTGTGGCGGTGTAATGATTATCCTTCAATGATTTTAATGATAATGATGATGATGATGATGATGATGATGGGCATGATATTTTCTTCATCATTTCATTTATTTCAGGTTGAAATCTAATGAACGAAGATTTTTTTCTACTTTTTTTTGAATAACAACAACAACAAAAAAACGGAAGAACTTTTATTTAATTGAGTTTTTTCACATAACACACACATGCAAAGCTGGCGGCCAATTCAATCGAAGAAAAAAACGATAAATTTTAAAAATTTTAGAAAAAAAAAAATCAAGAAAATTTTGATTTGATGGTCCCAATGGTGTTTGCGAATTTTTGGATTTTATTTTTCGGGAAAATAAATTTTCATAACAAACAAAACAAAACAAAACAAAAAACTTATTGTTTTTATCGATAAGATTTCTTGTTTTCTTAAACCATTTCAAATTCAAATTAATTGACTATGGTTCGGGTTATGAAATAATTTTAATTAAAAAAAAAAGTTTGAAAATTATTTTCATTTTTTAAAATATAAACGAGGATTATGCAACAACAACAAAAAGAATCATCATCATAGAAATACTTGATAAATTGGAATGGAATTGAATAAAAAAAAAGTTTAAATTCTTTAAGAGGCAAATGGGGAAAAAAAATTCACCATCATTATTTTACTGAATTTGGAACATGAATTTTCTCTCTCTTTATTCGTTATTTTCCAAAAACTAGAATTTTGCTCGAAATTTGTTGTTGTTGTTTGTTCACAGAATAAAATACTTGGACAAACAAAATAGGATATGAATAGGAATGTACTTAAAAAACAAACAAACATTTAATTTAATTTAAATTCTTTCAATTGATTCAGGCTTTTTAAAAAAAATAAGAATATTCCATCATCAACAACCGACCGACCGACCGAAAAAAGGATAAACTTTCGACACCAACATGGTTAGATAAAGCTTCAATTAAATTTTTTTTTGTTTCAAAAAAATTCATCATCATTTTACATGTTAAACGAACAACATTACGAGAAAAAAGTTGATTGGTTGATATTATTAATGACGGAAATAATGGCCAAATTAAACATCAAAAATAAAAATAAAAAAATTTTACGTCAACGCATCATCATCATTATTATTATTATAACGGACATTCATTCACTGGCCAAAGCATCAGTTGTTCGGTTCTATTCTATTCTGTTGTCTATATTGGTATTTTGCGTGTGATGGATAGATAAGATAGATAGAATTCAAAAAATGAATGTATCCGAAAATATTATTAGTTATTCTTGTAATATATTCTATATATAAAGATAATTTTTTTTTTCATTTATTTACGTGAGTGGGTGGTCTATGTGTTTCGGCAAAAATACAAATGAAAATAATAATGATGAACAGAATCTATCCTAAGAACCAAAAAAACATTCAAGAGAAAAAAAATTTTTGCTTCTCAAATTGAGTATACAGGCTACTTTGCACCAGGACAGAAGAAAATGAAAATAGAAAATCACCAAATAGCAAAAAACAACAAAAAAAAATTGAATAAATAAGACAACAAAAAAAAACACTGTTGGATCAAAATGATGCGATCTTTTCGCTGCTGCTGTTGTTGGAATTTTTTGTCTATGAAATAAATAGCTTGCCTTTTTTAATTCTATATTGCATAATCATCATCATCATCATCATTATCAACAACTGATAATAACATCATCATCCTGTTGTCGTCATTCGTTTATCGTCATTGTCAGTATCGTTATTTTTTTTCCAGAAAAACGAAATATTGAAAATCAACCAACATGCGCCAATCAAATCAAATATAGTTCAAATGATAGTCGTCCAACCTTGATTGCTAACCACTACCGATCCGATATACCAGTAGAATACCAGCAGAATGAATGTAAAAAAAAATTCCATTATTAAAGAAGAAGGGTATATTATATCCGGACAAAAATAAAATTCAAAGAAGAAGAAGAATTCTCGAACTAATAACCTAAAAAATTGGGAAATTCACCTTAATAATATATAAAATTCTACTACTGATGCAAACTTGTTTGTAACAAATTCTGTTTTTTTTTTGTTGTTGCTTTTCTATTTCAGTTCATTATCAGTTGTTGAAAGTTCTGTTCATCATCGATTCTTGTTTTTTTGTATAGTTCGACTTATAAAACTATAGTCGGTTGGTTCGTTTTTAGCTGTGATTTTTGGGTACAATTATTATGAAATAAAAAAAATTTATGCCATATGCCAGCAGGAATTCAATGATCATACACATCGACCAACAACATTGTCATTTCCTTCTATGTTAAACAATATTTAAAAATACAGTTTGATTCAATTCGCAACAAAACAAAACAAAAAAATCCAATCAAAATAATTGTATTAAAATTAATGAAATTATAACAAAGTAGTAGCAAAAAAAAAAATCAACAGCAACATGCATATTCCATTTTTATGCCCAGACAACAACAGAAAAATGTTTATCCATCCGCCTTGTTTGTGATGTGTGTGTGTGTGTTTCCATGATAATTCCAATGCCATATCCATAATGATGATGATGATGATAAACCATTATTATTGATTAGGTTGGTTATGAATTTGTGTTTACATTATTTTGTCATCATCATCATCATTTGCTACTTAATTTTTTTTTCATCAATGTTGTAAATGTTCGTTATTTTTATTTGTTTGGTATGTTTATTTGCAAGTGGAATTTTTGGGTTGACAACGACAAAAACTGTTGAAAAATTTGGCAATCAAACATTATTCATGATGAAAAAATAATGGTCGAACAGAATTTGATTTAATTTTTTAATGAATTTTTCGAAACAAAAAACAAAAACGATAATTATTCAATGCCGGCAGCAAAGACAAAATGAATTTTTTCAGCCTTTTTTTTGAAAAAAAAAGAATATATTGAATTTCATCGATAAAAATTTGTAATTGGAATGAAAGAATATCCGATTACATCATTTTTTTTATTTGAATTGTTTGTCAATATTGAATGTTTTTTGTTTTCATATTGAATTTTATTCAATGTTTTATTTGAAACAAAAACAAAATGATTACATGATTTGTGTTGAAATTTTGGAATTTTCTATTCATCCGATTGATCTCTAAAGTACTACTATAACAACAATAATGATAATAATAACGGCAACCGGATAACTTTAGTTTAGTTTAATTCTTATTTAAATGGTTTTACTAACATCAATAACGTTTTAGTGCAAATTATTATTGCAGTTGACAAAATTGAATAAATGGTAAGTAGTTGAATATATTTCATTCATTTTACCTTTCAACAGGTTTCTACTATATTTACATGTAATGAATTTGGCAATGAAAAACAATAGGAAAAAAGCATTTTGGTTTGTTCAATTTGTTTATGATTAATTTCCCTTTGCGGATGTTTTATTGAAAAAAATAACAATAATCAAGATAAATTAGTTAGGATTAATCAATTGATTATCCATAATAATCAATTTTAATTTTGGCAAGTGAGGCCATCCTTGGATTATGTTTAGATGTTTGTTTTTTTTGGGAAAAAAAACAGAAATAAATAAATAACAATTTACATTTCCAATAACAACATTGTACACTGTGAATATATTCATTTTCTCTTTGTCAAACTCAAAAAAAGAAAAGAAAAAACATTTTTCATTTCTATCAATTTATCACAAAATATATTGGATCCATTCAAAAATTTGGATCAAACAAACATTTATCAAGCAAACATTTCGGATAAAAAATGGCGAAGTGAAAATTTTCATGGAATTTCGTTTTTTTGCACATTTATTCAATTTTTCATTTCAAAAATGAATTGAAATTCACCATTTTGATTATAATATTTCTTTTGGATAGAATCATCAAACAACAACTTAAAAAAATAGCAAATTAATGTTGACTTGATGATTTTTACGAAAAATTGTTTTTCTTTTTCAAATGACATTGATTGTTCTGATTGATTTATTTTCCAAATATATAAAAATAAATTTCTGATGAATTTTCGGATTGAAAAACATTTGGCAGTCATTTTCAAAAAAAAATTTGTTTACACAACGGTTCTAAGCTCTGTATTCATTTGTGAACAAAAAATTCCAAGAATCAGTAAAAAAAATAATCACCAAAAAAAAACCATCAAACGAAAAACAAACAAACAAAAATTGTTTGAAAAATGAAATGAAACGAAACAAAATGATCATAAAGATGATGATGATGATGTGTAACAATCGATAAATGTCACGCCATATAACAATCGAATCGATAAGATATTTTGTAATATCTCACACCATCATACCATTCATTCATAAATCCAAAAATCATTTGATGATAATTTTAATCGATCATCGATAAGGATGATGTGATGTGTCCACCAAAATCGATCATCATAAAGTTTTTTTTAAAAAAGGCGGAAGACAACTTTTATCGATCAATCATATCAAAACAAATGGCTTATTAGAGTGAAAATTAACAGCTTTGAGATTCTATTAATTTTTAATCATTTGAATTTTTTTTTTTGCCGGAACTTTTTGTTGGAATGATGATGATGACGGCTGAATGTTTGATATGATTATTGTTTTCACTTTTCAAACCATAAAAAAAATCATTACATTTCATATTCCAATGATCTTTTGGGACATTGATTTTGATTTGATCACATGATGAACTTATACTTTTTGAAACTTTTATTTGTTTTTTTTCTCCACATATAATGTGTAATGAAAAAGAAAAACTTTAAATCAAAAATGAAAGAAAGATTTGTGAATAATTTATTCAGAATCAGAATGGGTTAGTTATTCATGATTTTTTGGTTTTTCTCTCTCTCACTCTCTCGTTTTTTCATCCAATGATTGGTCATGTGAATATTTACATATTTCATATTTCTAAAAATAAAAAAAAATTATGATAATAAGAATTTTTTCTTTTTCTTTTTTTGAATTTCACAATGTTGTTCATCATTATCGTTGATGACAATAAGGTGATGTTTTGAATCCACAAAAAAAGAAATTCAAATTTTTAACTAATTTTTTTTCATTGTTTAAAAATGAATGAATTAATCAAATTTTATAATCAGATTTAATGGGATGCAATGGGAATTTTCGTTTTTGCTGCCAATCATATTTGATAAACAAACTAGAAAATTCACACCAGATTGTTTTGATTAGATATAGCCAAAACCAAAACCAAATAAATAAATAATGATAATGATGATGATAGTGGTGGTGGTGGTTATTTGAAACTTGGTGATAATAAATTCAGATCCCAAAATCATTAATGTTTACTTACATTTACCAATCAAATCAAACAAATATCGACAAATATCCAATTAACCGGAACAAAATGATTCGACTATATTTACCTAAATAGTCGTTACGAATGGTCTAAATCTGTGAATCTGTGAATATTTTCAAATTTCCCATTTTTTTCCACGATTGAAAAGAAGAAAAATGGCATCTCGTAAAAAACAAATAAATAAAATTTTCAGCTTCAATTTCTTCAACTTTTAACAACATTTAAAATAAATTATTTTCGTGATAATTTTTCGATGAGAAAGTTTCCCATCAACGGAAAAAAACAGCCATCATTTTGATCAAATTGATTTGAATAAACTTTTCTTTTAATTACCGATTGGGTGATGATTTTTTTTGTTGTTTTTCTTGCCAAAAGTTTTCGTTTTCCGAAATAACTTAGAAATTTATTAGTTTTTTTTCCTATTTGAACTAAAAATTTTCCAATTTCAATTTAAAATGAACTTTTTTTTTTGCAATTTTTCATTTTTTTTTCCGAAAAAAAAACAGCAATTTTCTCTCGTTTGTTTAAAACGAATGAGGAAAAAAACAAGATTCAAAAAGCGAAACAAAAATGACGTCCGAACAGCAACAACAACAGAATCCTAATTGTGATTATGATTATCTCATCAAATTTATGGCTCTTGGTATGTTTTTTTTGTTTGTTTTTGTTTATAACCTAATTCATATTCATCATCCAAAAATCATAACTTAAAATTTTCAATTTACACAAGGTGATTCGGGTGTTGGTAAAACGAGCTTTTTCTATCAATTTACTGATGGAACTTTTGATCAAAAATTCATCTCTACAGTTGGTATCGATTTTCGTGAAAAAAGAATTGTAATTATTTTCAAACAAGCAATTTTTTCTCTTCAAATCAATATTCAAAGTTTATTTTGTTTTGTTTTTTTTCTCTCTATATACAATTGTTAAATAGATGTATCGTTCAAAACAAAGTCGATCAATGGGACGTACTCAAAGAATTCAACTACAATTATGGGATACAGCTGGCCAAGAAAGGTTTGTGTTTGATGATTTGAAATTAATTAATTAATTTTTTGTTTTCTTTCCTAAAATTAACAATAATAACATTGATCAATTGAAGATTTCGTTCATTGACAACAGCATTTTTTCGTGGTGCAATGGGTTTTTTAATATTATTTGATTTAACAAATGAAACATCATTTATAAATATTCGTGATTGGTTGGAACAACTTAAAACACATAGCTATTATGAAAATCCTGAAATAGTTTTATGTGGTAATAAAGTTGATCTTTATGATGATCGTTTAATTTCATCTGAACGTGCACGTAAAGAAGCACAAAAATTAGGGTAAATTATTCAAATTTTTTTTGTTGTTGTTGTTGTTTTAAATTAATTACTTTAACTTTTAATTATTCAATTTTTTTTTTGTTTCATTAAACATTCATATAGATTTCCATATTTTGAAACAAGTGCAGCAACTGGACAAAATGTATCGAAAGCTATTGATACATTATTAGATATGGTAATGAATCGTATGCAAACATCAATTGAACAATTGGCCTTTAATATTCATAATAATAAACGATTAATAAATAATAATAATAGTGGTGGTGGTGGTACAACGATACTGAATAATATAAATAATAAGGATAATGTAAATAACATTATAAAATTGGATCATTGCGATCAAAATGATTTAAGCGGATATGCTAGTTATGGTTATAATTATATTGTTTCCAATTGTAACGGTTGCTAACATTTTTGTTCTCATTTGAAAAATAAAAGAAGATCTTTTTCCCCATATTTTTTTCCAAATAATCTGTTTATCAAACATCCCAACAAAAAAAAAGCCAAATTCTTCTTCCAAATACGAATAATGTTGATATAACGATTATTGAATGAATGGTAAACGACATTCATCCATCCATTCCGGTTTTTTCCGATCATTAATAATGATGAGCTTCAAAATAATTAATTAATAACTTTGTCCAATATATTACACAAAAAGAATTACTATTTTTGTTGTTGTTGTTGTCGTTATTATTGTTTATAATTATCATTAAATTAATTAATTAATCAATTGTTCAAAGTTTTTTTTTCTGAAATTACAAATATTTCTTTGATGATTAATGTAAATGTATCATTTTCTTTTTTCCCTTGTTAAAATGAATCATTTGTTATCATTTTTAAAAAATAAAATTGATATATGTAAATATTGTCAATGAAAGTACAAAAAAAAGTCGATTCGATGATTGTAAATAAACTTTTTTTAATTTTTTTTTTGTAAATATCAAAAGAATCGATCGATCGATTCTGTGTCTATTTATATCCTTCATCATTGTCAAAATAGGTCAAAATGACATCCAAAATAACAACAACAAAATCAATCCGATTCGATAGAAAATTTAATCAATTTCAATTATTTATTAACTTTCAAAAAGCAAAATCAAAACCAGATTAAATTTTCTTTTTAATCATTATTAATTAATTGATAATGTTGATAATGAAATTGAATGAAGACAGACAAACAAAACAAAGAAATTTCATTTAGATTTAAGAATAAAATTATAATCAATTTATTTATCGCATTCACAATAAGAAAAAATAATTATTATAATTATAAAAAAAAAAGAAAAACATTCAGGGAATAATGTGATAAGGAATTTTGATTGAAAAAGAAAAATTGTTCATTAAAATGGATATTCCGGAAAAAATATTGATGATTATTGATTATTTTTACCATAATGACGAAATTGTGGTTTCAATTCCCACATATTTTTATGTGGATTTTTTGCATTATAATTACAAATTTCTTTGAGTATTTCTTTTAGATATGGCTATTTTTTTAAAAGATAGGATAAAAAAAATTAATTGTAATCGTAATTATAATGATAAATATACAAGAATACTTACAACCGGTTGTTTAGTTAGACGTTCCAAATCTTTAATATTATAATATTGATGTTTTTCGAATGCAGCAAACAATGTATTCTGTACAATTTCTTTATCATCACGCATTTTTTTACCTTCATTCTTTTTTCGTTGATCTTCGTTAAGCTTTTTTGTTAAAAGGTAGATAATAAAATTTTGATTATTCAGTGTCTTTTTGTCACAAATTAAAAAAAAATCATACCTCACTACGATGAACATTGATTGGTTTGAAATTATTAATAGCACGATCTAATTTTTGTACAATTTTTGTTGGTTGTGATGCACGACGTATTGTTTCTTTTTTCAAATTCATATAATGTGCATCACCGATTGGACGACATTCACCTTTTTGTACTACTTGTCCTTCCAATGCTAATTTACTATTTTCATCTTTAATAGTTTGAAAAATTGATTCGATTTATTCGATAAAAATAAATAAATAGATTTACCTTGTGAAAATATTGCCAATGTTTGATGATTAATATTTGATACAGCAAATTTATGTTCAGCCGGTATACTTGTTGTCGTTATCGGTTTATCTGTTTTTGTTGATAATGATGATGATGTCGATACAGTTGTTATTGTTGTTGTTGGTACCGATGTTGTTGTTGTTGTTGATGATGATGATTTATTAGTGGATGTTTTTATCGATGATGATGATGATGGTACCGAATCTTCATTTGGATCAGTACGAATTACCTGTTCAGAAAGATTGAACAATACTTCCATTTTTCCCGAAGTATTTCTATTGATTCAAAACCCAAAAATCATTAGTTTAATTACAATTTTAACAAGAATTAAAAAAAAAATTTATACCGAGTAATGTTTAATCGTCCAATTTCGGTCATCGGTTTTTGTTTGGCCCATCGTTGTGAAATATATTTTGGTACTTTGACTAGCCAAACACCACGAGCAGCATTTTGACAATCTAATTCCATTTCCAATTTTTTTTTCTCGATTAAAATGTTTACAAAAAATTGAAGATTTTTAATTAAATTTTCTTTGGATTATATTCACTGAAGACCACGTGTAAACAATTGACCAAGAATTTTCTGTGTGTGTGTGACCAGAACAAAACAAAACCGATGATTGAAAAATAATCGACTGGAAAAATATTTCAACCAAAAAAAAAAAAAAAGAGCAACGATAATAGAATGTGTTATGTAAGGGAAATCCACCGATAGATGGCAATCAGAACTGGCTTTTTTTGCTTCAAAAATCCAAAAAATTTTAATTGAAATCAAAAGAATTTTTCCTGTTGACAAAAAATGAAATGAAATTTGATAATTTACATTAAATGAAACGTGAGGAGATTTTCTTTTTTTAAAGATGAGAAATGAGAGATGTTCTTTTTTTTGCAGGATTAAATATAAATTCACTTCTTTTTCGATGTTGAACCAAACGATGCAAAACCCATCATTGCTGCCATTTGATCTTCATCACCATCATTATTATTATTATTATTTAATTTTTTCTGCTGTTGTTGTCGTTTTTCTTTTCGTTTCTGTTTACGATATTCTTTTAATTTTTCCTCTTCTTCACGTAATTCTTTCATTTTTTCTTCAATATCATATTCATTTTTCTTTTCCATTTTTTCTTTTAATTTCATTTCAAAACGTTCTTTAACATTTTCCAATGTACTACGTGATATACGCATATTCATACCAAGATTTTTTTGATGTTTTTTACCATTAATATGATCCAAATAATTGATCGAATCTTTTACAACACAATCACAAACATGACAATGATAACCACCAGCTTGTGATGATGGTGTTGCTTTTGATATGACAACCGTTTTACCCAATTTAGATTCGAGATCAACTTTAAAATCACGTGCTTTCAAATTTTCCCGTTTTTTAGCTGGTGTTTGTTCCGATCGATTATCATCATTATCATCATCAACATCTTTTTCATTATTCAAATCATTTTTATGTTCATTATTATCATCATTATCTTCAGGATTTTTTCGTTTATTCTTCTGAATTCGTTCTTGTGCTTTACGTTCATATTCATCTCGATCCCATCGACGACGAAAATCATCACCAGCATTGCTCATTTTTGTTTTATATTCTTTTAAAAAAATAAAATAAAATTCAAAATTTAAAAAACAACAAACCAACAACAAACACTCAAACACATGAAAATTTAAGAATATCGATAGTAAAAGAATCGATTAATCGAAAAATTTACCAAAAAAACACTGACATCACACACACACACACTGATTACAAGAAGCACACAAACAAAGTGGAGCAATATTGTTGCAAGACTCTTCTGCTTTTTCTTCGAAAAAGGAAGGCGGTCTTGTATTCTCATTCATATTTTATTCAATGTTTTCTTGCAAGAAAACTCATCCTCCTCACCAGCATCATCATCATCATCATCAATAACAACATCAACATTGTTTTAATTTGATGATTCTTTAAATAAAATTAAACCAAAAGAAAAAAACAAGATTCCATTTCATCAAGAATCCAAAATTTCATCGTTAATTGCTCAAGAAATATTCCCATATAGGGATAATAGAATTTTTTCTGGTGTTTTTCATTCAATTCTAACATAAACAATTTGATTGGTTCCAGTTTTGTTTTTGTTTTTTTTCATCTTTTTCGATAATTAATTGGGATGGTAATGGGTGATGAGATAAAGGTATGAAATTGTGATAATTGAGCACATGTGGTTCTGAATTTTTCAATCATAAAAATAAAAATTTAGCTACGTTATCATCATAATGGATCCGATGTAAAATATTCTGATAATAATAATTCAAAAGAAAATTTATCCATTAATCGTACGATCAATACAACGACGACTACAACATCTGTGTTTCAGGTAAAATATTAATATTAATGTCAGATATTTTTCTGTTGTTGTTGTTCGTTTTGAAATAAAAATCAATTTCAACTATATATTTTTTTGTTGTCATTGTAAATATAGACATCGACAGTGAATATAGATGATTCCTGTAAAACTAAAAACCAAACAACAACAACAACAATCATATCGCATCGTAAAGATAATACTAATATTAATAAACATAATAATAATAATAATAATATGCCCGATGTTGATGATTCAAATATGCAATGGTTTCATGGAAAGATTACCCGAGAAGAGGCCGAAGCATTATTAACACCAAGAGAAGTAATAATTTAAAAAAATGCAATCATTTGTTATTTACAATATATTTCTTATGAATGAAATTTCTTTGTCACTCACTCACTCATTGTTTAGGATGGATTATTTTTAGTTCGTGAAAGTACAAATTTTCCAGGCGATTATGCCTTATGTGTTAGTTATAATGGACGTGTTGAACATTATCGTGTCATTTATAATGATAATAGATTTACAATTGATGAGGAAGAATTTTTCGATACATTAATCGAATTAGTTGAAGTATGTCAACGATTTTACCATCTGTTTTTTTTGTTCTTACTAATCAATCCTTTTTCTTTTTTTCAAAAAAAAATTAATTGATCAGCACTATTGCCTTGATGCAGATGGTCTTTGTACAAGGCTACGTGATCCGGTGGTAAACAAATTAGTCAACAATAATTTAACATCCATTACAAGCAACAACAATACCAATAATAATGTCAACAATAATAACAATCATCAAGCATCATTATTATTGGATCCAAAAGCATTTGAAGCTGCCGGATGGGTTATACGTATGAATGATTTAAAATTAGGTGAAATACTTGGTAAAGGTGAATTCGGTGATGTATTATTGGGCTCTTTTCATGGACAAAAAGTTGCAGTAAAAAAATTGAAAGATTCAAATTCAAAAGCGGCACAAGACTTCTTAACGGAAGCAAGTCTAATGACTTCATTACGTCATAAAAATCTTGTACAATTATTGGGTGTTGTTTTTGATGGTCCATCAGTTTGTTTTGTAACAGAATTTATGGCCAAAGGATCATTAGTTGATTATCTTCGTTCACGTGGACGTTTGCATGTAACAAGAAAAGATCAGATAGCATTCGCTGCTGATACATGTGCCGGTATGGCATATCTAGAATCAAAACAAGTAATACATCGTGATTTAGCCGCTCGTAATGTACTCATATCTGAAGATGGAGTAGCCAAAGTTTGTGATTTTGGTCTTGCAAGAGATCAAACGCTTGGATTAGATGGTGGAAAATTTCCGATCAAATGGACGGCGCCTGAAGCACTTCGTTTTGCTAAATTTTCCAATAAATCTGATATGTAAATATTGATTGAAATTAATCTTTTTTCTCTCGAATAATTCTTTTTTATAAAACAAGGTGGAGTTTTGGCATTCTACTATGGGAAATCTATTCGTTTGGTCGAGTTCCTTATCCTCGAATTGTAAGTGATGATCTAGGAATTATCAATTCTGATTTCCATTCTTCTTTTTAGCCATTAGCTGATGTTGTCAAACATGTAGAAAAAGGTTATCGAATGGAAGCACCTGAAGGTTGTCCAAATGAAATCTATGATATTATGCGGCAAGCATGGCATTTTGATCCAGATTGTCGGCCTACATTCTCGATAATTTCACAAAAATTGGATCAACTTCGTGCATTGACCACTTAATCAATCAATAATAACAAAAAAATTTTCGACAAAATCAAAAACATTTTAAAATGAATTCCAAGCGTTACAAACAAAACAATTTTTTTTTGAAAATTCACTATTTATTTAACACACACACGTTTTATAGTCCTAAACATATTATTCTTCTTGTTATATGTTGTCAGTGTGTTTTGTTGCCAACCCTTGAAAAGTCCATTTGTAAAAATTTTTTTCCTTTTTTTTTAAAAAAATTGATATTTTCCCCTTCATTCAATTTTATGTGTACAGTAATATATGAATCTCGATTTTTTTGTTTGTTAATAAATAATAATTATTCTGTAAGCGAGAAAAAGAAAATTGGTTTTGTGCATCACATTTTTTGTCCATTTATTAATTAGAATTTTGTTAATTTAAATTTCTTTAAAATAGAAATATTATAATTTTGAAAATCATTTTAGCTAAATGATCAATCATTAACCAGGTTTCGATGAAACAAAAAACATCATTTCATAATAATTTGATAATAAATATATAGTGGTTAATAATAATTTGGGTACATGGCGCAAATGAAAATAAAATCATGTATCAATACCCAAAAACCATTTTGAATCCTAAAGGTGATGATGTATTTTCTTTTGTATAAACTTTGTGTGACCAAAATTCAATTTTAATGTTCGAAATTTTTTTTTTACTTGTTGTTATCATTCAAATTAGGTAGGTTTCAATTTCGATGAGTTGATTGAGGCATTTATTTTATTGTAGAGTATTTACAAGGTTTTATAATTTTTTTTCAATATTTTTAAGAATTTGGTTGAATTGAATATTAATTAGATTTTGCTAGCAGTTGTCGTCGTACAATTAACCAAAGATTGTGATTCATCACTATTTGGTTGTTTACGTTGATAGAAAAGAACATATGCAGCTTTGGTCATCACTTTATTTTTATCACCAATCGGTGTTACAGAATAATCATCAAATAGATACCAATTGTTTGATTGAAAATTCTTTGCATATGCTGTATAATGACCGGCGCCAAGTTCACCATAATGATTTGATACAGCGATTAAATCATAAACCAATGATTCTTTATTCGGATTATGTAATACATATGGAGACATATCCAAATTTTCGATTGGAAATTCAACCAAAACATTTAATTTATCTCGATGTAAACGTGAATAAGAAAATCGTTTTAAATGAATGATCAGATTATTTGGTAATGACCTGTTAAAATAAAAAAATGATATTTTTATCGATCATTTTAGAGATAATTATTACACTCACCATATATCGAACTTTTTACTAGCCATTTGATGTTTCTTACAACGTGGACAATACCATGGATCATTTTCGCCCAATTTTTCTGTCAACGTAAATTGGTTAATACATTCTTTTAACGTTAACAATGAATTTGCATGTGTATTGGTAGCCATATTTGGTAATAATTCGGATAGCCGTAAAAGACCAGCACGATTTAGATTCGATGGGAAGAATTTTGAAACAATACGATAATGTATATTAATGGCCAGATAGTCATCGAATGATGAATCCAATCGTGTCCCCGGTTGTATAACCGATAATTGACATTGGGCATTATTGTTGACCGTAACAATTGAATAAGACGGATATGTTCTTGTTCGTTTATTATTACCACTACCACCGTATATTTCATCAACACCTTCATCATCATCGGAATTTTCATTATTATTATTGATCGAATTATCGTTACTACTATTATTATTGGCCGCCATATCTTCTTCTTCAACATCGGATGATTCACCATCCGACCCTGCACTTGATCTTCGCGTTCGTTGTTTATCGTTTGTTGTAACCGTAGAAGTAATATTTTTATCCTCTTCAACAAACATTTCTTCCATTGCTTGAAGAAAACAATTCAGCTTATCCGGATGTACAAGACTGGTCAATTCTTTGAATATAGCTTCACGTATATTTTCATAAGTCAATGATTTGAGATTGATAAAAAATGGTCGACTAATAATGCTTTCAGAATGATCGGCATTTATTTGCCGTATGAATACGGGCAATGGATAGCCACTAAATTTCGATGAACTACGCGTTTGACAGCCTTGCGTTTCGGAATTTTGTGCCGTTGGTGGATCATCCAATTCATACACGACAATATCATCCAAATGTGGATTATAATAATCTGTAGGTGCATAAATTTTATTCATTCTACATTCCATAATGTTAGCGACGACCATTTTTTTCGGATCAAATTTTCGATTAAAATAAGCACGATGAGGACTGCCATCATCTTGACCATTATTACAATCATTAAGAAATTTAGCCACAGCAACACGAATATCGGATGCACAACCAGTTTTCGGTATCATCACATTTTCTAACAATATACATCGTACTGGTGTTGCATTGTAATTTGTATTCATTACGAATTTATTCGAAGAGGTGGATGTTGCACTAGCCGAAATTGTGTTCTTTTTATACATTGGACGTTTTGAAATAGCTGGTACGAATAAAATATCCACTGGTTTTTCAATCTAGCCGAAGACAAAAAAAGTATTGAAATTAGAAAAACTGATTTATTTAAAACATAAGCAAAAAACTCTTACCCGATAAGGCAACGGTAACGTAAGATAACAGAATGGATCGAATGTGACCGAAACTAATTCACATTCTGGACAAACTAAAGTACTTTTCAATTGAGCATGAAATGTATCGACGATAATAGAATCATTACGACGTTTATAATTGGCCCATGCCTCCTTCGATACAATTTCATCTGGACGCCTTTCAATATCGTTTTTCATTTCGATATATGGTTTAACTTTTACTCGATTCAGATCTTCGTGTAAACCATCCAACAAAAAAGCCATCAATTCTTGACAATCGTGATGAGCGAATCCTGAAAATTGTGGCGCAAATTGAGTGACCGCAATTTTGAATTCTCGTGGAGCAACACTCGAATGAAATCCAGACCAAATGGTTTTAATGAGCTCAGCATAACGTCGAGCAATTTCACCACGCATTCCTAAGGGATTATCCGGATTTATGTCAACCAGATGTTGATCGGCAAGAAAATATTTGGTCAATGGTGCCGTATTCGAAAGACATTGAATAGCGGCATTCATGAAACATGTATTTCCCAGATTCATTAGACCACATACACCAGGCGGACAATTCGGTACACCACTTGCATATTTGGATCGTGTTACAGCGCCTAATTTTGTCTTGCTTGAAGGCCAAGTGTGATCAGGATTTTCAACTTCAATTGTTAGCACCGTATTCGGTGCTTCCAATTCGGTTATTTCCAATAAACGTTGATTGATATCGGATATCGCCGCTTTTGAACCACCAGAAGTTGGTAAAGGGGGAGGTGGTGGCGGCGTTACGGAAGGCACAAATGTACTGCTACTGCTTGCATTCACATTAGCATTGTTCGCTGTTGTCAATGTTGATGAAGATGCAATCGGTGTGGAGGAACTACAATTAGCATCTGTATGCGACACTAACAATGTAGCATTATTCCATAATTGAACAGGTTTTGAATCATCAATATTGAATAATTTTTTCATATCATCAATCACTTCACGTAAAGTACAATTACGGCTATATTGTTTGACCATATCTTCTTTTGAACCATATAATGTTAAACGCAATTCTAGTGGATTTAATTCAACTTGATAATATGATTCGGTACGCTGTATAACTGGACAACGAATCGGATGGCCACCCATACCATCGACAAGACCAAATTCATTAACTAATAAATTCCATACCTCTTCGGGTACGATAACAAAATCTTCATTCTCTCGTGCAGTTGTCTTTAAACGATATGTTTGTGTAGATGTTTTATTATTATTTGCTATCGTTGTATTCTGGGCCGGTCGTAATAATTCTATGATGAAATGATGATAAAAAAAAGTGAATGATTGAGGCATACTAAAAAAATTCTTTAACATACCTTTATTATCGATTTTTCCTGGATGATTCGCCTGATCTTTACTATTCTCCAGATAGGTCAAAAAAGAATCATACCAATGTTTATCAAGTATATACCAATATTCATTCGGTTTTAAAAGACGTTTCATTAATGCTGGAACATCTTGTAATGTATATTCTATTTGTTGTTCTATTGTCGATGATGACGGCATGCTATTATTATCACTCATTTCGTGTTCTTCAATGGTCGTCGTAATTGTTGCTGTCGTTGTAGTTGTTGGTAAATTATCTTCAACTTCCATATATTCAATGGTATCCGCTTGTTGATCAACCTGTTATCAGATGATATAATGAATATTTTCGTTTCAACAACAAAATACAAAAAATTTTTAACCTTATTAGTTGATGATGATACCACACCATTAATCGGCTGAATATTATGGTGGTGATGATGATGATGTTGTTGTTGTTGTTCAGATACCATGTTCGTTGTCGATAATTTCTTCGCTATTACAGTTGATGATAATGGTTGTAGTGGTGGCGGTAATTGTATTTTTTTCTTATTATTAGAATCGTTGGTATTGATCGCACTAGTAGTGTTGGTGATTGCAGAAGAATTGTTGTTTATTGTCGTTGCTGTAGTGATATTCGTATTTTTTGTGACGAATTCTTTCATTCTTTTTTCTTTCACTACTTTTTCAGTATATATCGGAATTTCTGTATAGACTCTTGATCAAAAGAAAAAGAAAAGAAAAGAACGGTATTGAGGCAAACGATGACGATAGATTTAGGTAAAAATAATATTTTGATGACGACAAGATTTCGTAAGATTTTTTTTTTGCTTCTGTGTGTCCTCAATATGATGCGTCAGCGGCTGATGATTAAAAGAGGTGGTGGTTGGTTGGTTGGTTGTGTTGCTAGTTTTGGATGATTTAGATGATGATGGTGGGCGGATTTCGATTCCTAGAATGAATATAGAAATAAAAAATTTAAGAAAAGAAAACAAAAAAAAATTATTGAATGAAATACAACGAAAACAATATAACAATGACAATATCATTACAGCATTTAATGGAATTGTATATAGGGAAAAAACTTCGAAATAATCAAAATTTAATTTTGTTCTAGTTTTTTTTTTGTTGTTTTAGTTCAGTCGAAAAACATTGACATATTCATAAGAAATTTTCAAAATTTATTTATAGAATTTTTTCTACTTTTTCTCTATTTTAAAATGTATGAAATGAATAATTTACTATTGTTGTATTTCGAATTAAGAATTGCAATCATTACGTGCACACATGTTTAATTCATTGAAAAAAAATCTCTAAATTTCACTAAACATTTGATGTAAAATGATATTTAAAAAAGAAGAAAAAAAAGAATCGAACATAACAAGTGGAATTTTTTTTTTTGGATTCGAACGTTTTTTGACACGTGTATGGAAATAAGGATTTTTCTCTTTCGTTTTGTTTTGATTTTATTTTCTTACCAAATCTTTTTTTAAAAAAAAACATAGAAGAAATTTCAATTAAATAAACATCATTATTCTTATATTTCTCACCGAGACAAAAAAAAAGAGCACAAAGGTCAAGTTTATCCGTTAATCCAGCGCAATTAAGCGAAGTGGAAAAAAATAGAGCCAAATCAAGTTAAGCTTAACATCTAAAGAAAGAATTGATTGAACCGTGTCATCACATAAACTCGCGTAACACATAGAAAAAAAACAGATCACGCTATTAAAAAAAAAGAAAAATACACAAAGAGCCTTCAAAAGAAGAGAAACAAGCAACACACACAGGCACACACCATCAGAGCCAGGTTTATTTTGTTCAAAACCGGCAGTATTCTTCTTTATTTCCAACTATTTGGATTCAATCCTCGTTGTAAAGTTAAAATAGATTTTTTTTCCTGTATTTAGGATTCCTATCACCAGATGGTGATTAATGAAATTTTTTTTCTTTTGGAATCAGAATTATTTCATTTTTTTTTCTGTTGCGAAGTTTCTATGGAAACTTTACCTTTTTTTTTTGTTATTATTAATTTTATTCTATTGTTTGTTTGTTGTTTTGTATTTTGATGAAATCTGAGTCTTCTCTTTTTTCAATAGAACACTTTTATTGTTTTCATTTTAGATTATGAATCATCAACATTTCGATTAATGAGAATTTCGCCTTGAAAATAAAATCATCATCGTCCGGAAATGCCATTATTTTCATCAAAATTTTCATTTAAAAAATCTCGATCACGACGATTATCGAGAACAACAATCAATGAAAATAATCAAAATTCAAATAATAATGATGACGTAAGTGATGAATCGATTTCTTCCAATGATGACGACGATGATGATGAAATAAAACAACAAAATAAATCGGATAAAACGAAATCAAAAAATACTGAAATTATTGAATTAACCAAAAGTATTAAGAATAATAAACAAAAGAAGAAACAGTTAAACGATTCCATCATATCGAAGCCAATTGATATATCATCGCCAAAAACCAAACAACAAAAACAAAATCGAGCACAATTAGAACAGGGAAATGATGATGATGATGATGAACGTAAAATGATATTGATTATCGATTCAAATCATCGATTAAGTTTTGATCATCATAATGGTATATGGAATGATATGACAACCAAATACAATATCGATAATGATAATAATAATAATAATAACCATTCATCAAATTCAAATGATGATAATAATAATTCACAACAAAAAATCAATAATTTATTACAAACAATCGAAACATTAAAAGAAGAAAATCGATTATTAAAATTAAAAATTGAAATACTAATCGAAATGGTTACCGAAACGACAGCCGAATTAAATCTTAATAATAATCAAAATATTATTATGGCTAAAGTTGGAAAAAAATGAACTCCGACGATTTTTTTGATCGAAAAAATTCTTTAATCAAATCAATAAAACATTTTAAAGAAATTATATAAATGTATTGAATAAATATATAGATTTTAAATATAATAATAAATTTTTGTTTTACTTTTTCTTTCATAATTAATAAATTTTTTTTTTTTGCTGGTTTTTTGGGTAATTTCATTTTGTTTTTTCATTTCATTCACAAGCCAATTTTGAATCAAAACTACTTAATGCAATAGCAAATGCTTGTAATAATGATAATGGCCATGAAACATCGCATGAAAAATGTGTATTACTAACACGACCAAATTGTAATGAAACAAGATCATTTGAATAATCGGCAATCTGTTTTGCATCTTCAGATGATGTTGCCATTAAATAACCTGATTTACTTATTGGATGATTTTTTCTTAATCCTAATGATGATTTTTTACTTTTTTTCTTTGTATTTTTATCATTATCATTATCACTATCATCATTATTATTACCATCATTATTAGAAACAGAATCAGAATCAGAATCTTCATTAGAATTGCCTCCATCATCATCATCATCATCGTCATCATCATTATCATCCGGATTATTATAAAGTTTAGAATTATGACGTAATTGATGTGAACTAGCCGATCGTCTTAAAATTGCTTGATCATCAGCTGAATTGTTGTTGTTGTTTGATTTACGATTATTTCCATCATTGTTATTGGCATTCTGTACGACTAATTGAAAATTTTTAACACTTGCCTGTGTTACACGGCCATGAAAATTCAATACATATGATTGTGTTTCTACAATGATGAAAAGAAAGAAAGCAATTTGATTTCAAGAAAAATTTTTATTCTGATCAAATTCAAACCTTCATTCCAGATTGGTGTTTTATTTTTGAGCAACATTATTGCTCGTGAATTTCGTTTCAATTCTTCTTGTAATGATAGATTACAAAGAGCATTGGTTTTCTAAATTTATAAAGAAATTTGTAATTTCAGAACATGTTTTGTAAATAAATGTAAATTGTAAAAATATTAACCTCATCCGGTTTCGGTATAATGATTGTCATTTTTCTTGGTCCTTTAAATCCCAATACATTTGTTTCCTTTGTTTGTTTATTTTTGAGATTATAAAAATGAATACAAAAATTTCATAAATTATTCAAAATAATCAACAACAAACAAACAAACCAAACACATACATATGTAATAGATGAAATTTCATGACGTACACCATTCGAATGTAAACGTATGGACGTAAATTGTGTACCCAATACATTGGATTTAAGTTTTGCAATACAACGATCACGTGATATATCGAATGCATTATTACCAATAAGATATGTTTTACTTTTTTTTCGTCGTCTACCGGAAAGAACAAATACTTTTTTCGATGATGGTGTTGTTGTTGTTGATGATGAATTATTTGTATTCTGTTGTTGTTGTTGTTGTTCATCATCAGTTGTCAATGAATCATCATTTGTTGAATTAATACTTTCCAAACTATCCGACATCCAAACCGTTGCTGTTCCTTCGATCTGTTGTTGTTGTTGTTGTTGATTACGTTTATTATCCAATTGCATTGATGATAATGATTTATTCATTGTAGTCAAAAGATTATTGTTTAATACAATATCTGTAATGGTAAGGTAGGTTTTGGAAAGAAGAAAAAAACGTTTGCACGCGATTTATCATTTATAATTCAGTTATCAGATAAAATAAAATAAAAACATTTATAAGGTCAGCCATAATCATCGGATTGACACACAATGACCTTTTTTGATGACAATTGTCATAAAAAAAACACACCTGAATAAGTCAAAGGTCATTGGATGCAATTTATTTACCTTTTTATTTGAATATTGCGTGTCTTGACAACGAAAAAATGCACGCGTTTTTCTTTGATTCACCGAAAAATGTACAAGAAAAATGTACCATTTGATCTCATCATTATCATCACCATAACAGAAAAAAAACATTAGGTCAATCGATCAATCAAAAAAAACTGACAACTGATGAATTCAGACAAAATTTCAAATCTCAAATAAAAGTAGCCAGTGAACAAAAAAATCGGTATCATTTAGTTAAATCAACAGTTCCGATCATCATCATCATCATCCATTATCATCATTGAATGATAAAAAAAAATGGTATATAATTAAATAACAATCAAATTTCAACACGTGGTCAATCACAATACACAATGTCAAATAAACGTGTTTTTCATTTTTTTTATTATTACAACTAAAACCGGTTGAATGACAATTATGATGATTGGTGGAACCTAGTTTTTTCTTTCTTCCCTGATGAATAGTGTGATGGGTAATCATCATCATCATCATCATCATCGTAATTACTGATCATTCAGATCATCATAATCAACCTAACCATAATCACACAGCTGCAGTATATTTACAATCAACTTTTTTTTTGGAAAATTATACATATTGTCTTCATATAGAAATACAATGAAGACACTCACCCATACAAACAATCATTGATTTGAATAATAATAATAATAATAATAAAATTATGACGTTCATTCATCACATAATCGTTAAATCGACACAATTTTGGATGATAATAGTGAAGATATATTTGATTCAAATAAAATAATAATATTTACCTTGTAAATGCATATAATATGTTGGATATAATGAACGATCAAGTCCTTTTTTATCTCTTATAATTGTACATTGTAATGTAACATCCGGTGATATTGGTTGTGTAACAAATTTTAATAATTCTTCATCAGTCAATACATTTATCAATGGATTTGGCATTGATAATTTTTGTTCAATTGCTGTTGTTGTTGTTGTTGTATTTTGTTCATTAGTGTTTGATAATTGTTGTAGATTAATTTCCGATTTACTCATTGTAGATCGATGTAATGCTGATGATGATCTGGAATTATTATTTGCTAAAAATTTATCATTTTTTTGTTCTTGTAAAAATTTATTTGTTGATAATTTTGTTTGTTGTTGTTGTTGTTGTAGTTGATTATGATTATCTATTTGTTGTCTTGATCCTGGAACCGATGTTCGTGCACGATTTTTTATCATCATACGATTTTTCATTATTTTATTATTATCATTTTGATTATAATCTTGATTATTATTATCACCACCATCATTATTATCATCTAAATCATAATTAAAATGATTACGTTGAAATATTGAATCAGATGAATCGGTTGTTGATGAACGTGGATTAGATGATGGACTACCACCAATCGAACTATTACTATTGATACCGGATCTATATAAATTTTTTTCAACAAAAAACAAAATTAAAAGAAAGAAAAATTCCTTAAGAATTCGAATCGACAATTGATAATTATGTCGTGAATAAGGAGATAATAACAATAAGGATAATCACTACTATATTGCTATCACCATACTACTAGGATACGCATTCTTATGATGATGTAATTTTTTTTGTTTTTTCCTATTTCATTCATAATAAATTGAAGAAGAAAAAAACTGACAAGCATTTTCTAAAAAAAACATCATCATAGTAAATGAATGATAACATTAATCTATGGATTATACGCACACACACACATTGGATATCAATTTGCTACCGGAATTTTTTTTTTTCTTTCCATTCCATCGTGATCTTATGAATGAATGATTTGATTTGATATTGGACACGAATTTTTCGAAGATGTTGTTCTTCTTCTTCATTAAGCCGGATTTTCTGTTTATATTAATATGATGAGGAATTTTTTTTCCACTGCAGAAAATCATTCATTCTGATGTGTTGTTTGATGTCTTGTCAAAGGAAAAAAGAAAATATCAATAACAAACCGAATAAATAATCGATCATTCAACCGAACTGTTCAAGAGAGAGAGAGAGAGAGAGAGAGAGAGAGAGAGAGAGATAAATGATAATCAATTACTTCCGGCCGTAATTTTTTTGTTTCCCTCGTTGATAAACTTGATGTTTTCAATGTTTTTACTATATTTTTTAATGAAATTTTTTCTTTTTTTTTGGAGTAAAAAATTTGCTACTGAAAATATTACTGAATTACGCGTAGTATTTAGGAAAAAAACATCAATCTTGTTGCCCATATTTTAACCTGAAGTTTATTTCGTGTGAATTCTTTTTTTCGTTTTTGTTTCATTTTTCAATTTTTACTAACCTTAAATTACCAATACTTGTTGCCGGTCGTATTGTTGATGCTGATGATGATGTTGATGATTGTGATGAATTTGGTGATGATAATGATGGTATAATAATATTTTCATTCTGTTGATTTAATTGTCGTCGTTGTAATTTTGATTCAATTAATTGTCGTTGTCGTTCAAGTAAACGTAAACGATTTGATTCACTTTGACAATCTTGACTTTTTGGAATTCAATCGATCATCAAAGGAATTTTGTTTTTCGATTAAAAAGATTTCATTCAGAACAACAAACAACAAAATTACTTTTGAATCATCAATTTTGGAATAAACTTACTTTAAATTTCTTGACCATTTTGCCGATGATAAACGTTGATTATTATTATTATTATTGCCAGCGGTTGTTTCCATTTTCTGTTTTGGTTTTTTAGTCAAATTTTGCAAAAAGAATTTTCAAATTTTAAATTTCAATTCGAAAAAAAAACTATCACCAAAGTTTATTTCCAAACAAAGAATCGAACCAAAAAAAACCCAATGTCTGTAGTCAACAACAACAATGAAAAAAGACAGGATATGCAATTTATATTACTGAAAATCCATAAAGCAACCAAACCAAACACAAAACATGCTGATATTAAACTTAGTGTTTTGGTAACTAATGGTAACCGCTGTCAAGAATTCTTTGTCTTTGTGTGTATGTGGCGATTGCAAAAAAAAACCAGACCAGAAAAACCAAGGTGAATAATTCGATCGAAAAGTGAAAAACAACAAAAACAACAAAGACATTTAATATTTTCCAATGTATATGTGTAGAATTCTATATAACATTATGAAATTCTCTAGCTCTTTCTTTTTTCAAAATTTCATTTGTTGTTTCAGTAGCTCGAAAAAAATGAAATTCTTCAATCTAGATCAAGATCGTCATTAATGGATCTAGTGATCTGGTTTTTTTTAAAAAAATTCACTGGTATCTAGGCAAAAATACCATGGAAATTCAATTCATATATTAAACATAATCAATGGTGGTGAAGATATGGAATGAGGGAAATATGGAATGAAGAAAAACCGGATTCAAATCGGAATCGATACCTTGTTGAGCGAAAATATCGATCAATAAATTTGAATTTGAAAAGACATTTTCAAAATAATTTTACAATAAATTTTCAACTTTGTTTGGCCAAAATCGTTTTTCCCCAATTCTTTATTCATATTTTATTCAAATTCAAATACAAAGAAAAAAAAACAAAAACAAAACAAAACAGACGTCATTCTCATTATAATTAGGATAATGAATATTCAAAAAAAACAACAACAACAACAAAAAAATTCATTATAATTATCATTAAATTTGTTAATAAATAATAATTATTTTTGTAATATAAATTATTAAATTCTGTTGTTGTTGTTGTTGTTGTGGGTTGTTGTTGTTGTTGTTGTTGTTTGTTGATTGTTTTTCATTTATTCTTTGTCAATGTACGTTGTTTTTCAGCATGTTCAACAATTTTTTCTTCAACATGTAAACCTTTACGTCTACGTACAGCATTCATATAACGTAATGAACGATTTTCTGTATCAGCTTTTTCACCATAAAGTTTATATTCTTCTTCGGTTGTTGGTGTCCAAAATGGATCAATATCGATTACCTATAAGTGGAAACAGAAAAAAGAGAAAGAAAAAATTGATTATAAAAATTTTCGTTACAAAAAAAAATTCAATTTTGAAAAAATAAAATTCTTGAGTAACCAGAGGGAAATTTTATTTTTATTTTTGAAAAAAAAACCACAAAATCATCATCAGCAACAACAAAATTAAACCCTGAAGCATTTCAATGAAGAAAAAAAAACAGAAGACCGGAACAGGTGTGTCAATCAACAGGTTTCAATTATTGGTCACATTTTATTTTCATATTCATAATCAAACATAGCTGAAAAGTGTGTGTGTGTGTAACCCACTGTGCACTTAAATAAAATAAAATTTTCAATCTCAACAACGACAACGACGACACTAAAATCGATTAACAAACAAAAAATCAATGGAAAAAAATTTGAGTAAATTAACCACATACATAGTGTAATAATGGTTGGGGCCACACGAACCACACGTGTATGATATTTTCAAGTGGTAAACAAATGAAAAACGAAAAAAAATTATGCAATGAAAAAAAAACCAGAAAATGGCCAATCCTATCTACAGAAAAAAAAATCCGAATTAAAAACAGAAAGTTGGTAGCTAATCGGAAACGAGCCACTAAACAAAACAAAACAAAATTCAGGTAGTTGAAAAACAAAAACAACAGACTAATGACTAACAACAATCAATATATATTAGCCTTATTTTGAAGTTTTTAAAAAAGCAAAAAATTCTTGAAAACATCAGAATTTTAACAAACAAAAAAACTGGGTTTGGTGTGTGTACAACGACGAAATGAATTATGGAAACAAAAAAACCTGGGTAGAGCTCAATGAACAGATTCTGAAAAAACAGCAAAACTTTTTTTTTCTTCCAAATCTTAATAGCAAAAAGACTAGACAGCCAATGTCGATTACAGTGAGGTAATCTAGGTTGTGGCCCGACAATCATTCATTCATTCCTTTCATTAAGGACCCACATACATATAAATGACCAGTGAATAAAATGAAAATGAAATTGACCATAGAATTCACAAGTGAAGACAAATAATGACCGGAAAAATGATTACCACCACACACACTGACATGACACGTGTCGTTTATGATTTTTTATAAAAACTTGAATTTTTAGATTTGAAAATTTCAAGAAAAAATTGGGTGAAAAAATTTGACCAGAGATTCAAGGAATAAATGATGGTATTTTTCATTCACTAAAAAGAAAAAACTTTACGAAAGATTTTTTTTCTATTAATGAATCGTCATGACCCATCATTATCATTATCATCATAAACATCGGTATTAAGTATCAATTACCATGAAAAAAAAACATTAATGGATATTTAATAATAATGATGCTTTGCAATTGCCGCATCATTTCACATGTCATCATCATCATGATCAGCAAATCTTCCAATTCAAATCATTAATCAATTTGAATTCAAAAAAAATACTACTTATACACACGATTAGAATAGTGTGTGTGTAAAATCTTACGATCATTGATGGAATTTTCTTCATCTTCTTTCCCTCTCTGTCCCTTCTTTTCATCTTATAGTCGCGGTATTTATCTCTGATTGGAAAATGAAGAGAGAGAGAGAGAGAGAAAAAAAATCAATAGGAATTCAAAAAAAAATGTCCTGATGGTTGTTTTGATGATGAGAAATGTATGAATGAAATTTACAACGATGATTATGATGATGATGATGATGAGAAATTGAATGAATGAAATTTTTCTTCTTCTCTTCGAAAATACTCGATTCATTCATAAAAATTCAGAAGAAAATAAAATGCCGACAAACGTAATTCTTTCGATGGAGGGGAAAAAATGATGAAATAATCTTTTTTTTATTTTTACAAAATAGTCAATCATTTCAGTTCATTCATTTATATATAGTGAATTATCAGGAAAGTTTCTTTTCGAAGGGTGGCCAAAAAAAAAAACATTCAAGATGCATTTTCCAAAAGAAAATCCGATCATCATCGATCGAATCAATCATCAAATGGTTATTTTCCATTTACAATGTTCTTAGAAATAATATTATTTTTTTTTTCATTTCATTTTGATGAAGAGAGGCACTTGTTATTCACATAATAATAATAATCACCAACAACATCAACCTTCGATTAAAAAAACATTTTCATCGATTGGTATGCATGGAATTTGAAAAATTCGGATGTTGATGATTACATACATACAAACATACATTGATGATGTTGTTGTCGTAGATGATGATGATGATGATGATGATCGTATTGAATTTCAAATCAACCAATCATTATGAAACAAGAAAGATAAAGAAAAAGAAATACACACATAGAGAGAGAGGGAGATCAATAGAAAAAAAATATCGAAAGAAAATTAATCGATAATCATGATTATTAGTGACGGAAACGTATCAGATTTTTTTTATTTTTCACCCTCTTCTGATAAACGCCTACACAGATATCAAAGATCAAAGATATTGAAGAAAAAAAAAATAGATAAACACTTACCTCCCAATGGCTAAATGTTAATTGTGGTATTGCTTTACCACTAGTCTGTTTACGTATTTCATTAACAAAATTAAAACTTTCAATAACAGGTAATATAGCATTAACGGTAAATATTTGTGATCCTTCCTGTACATCGGCATGTAATATACGGCCATTTCTTCGTCCAATTACTGCATACATTTTACCTTTAAGAAAAACAAATTTAAATAACACAAAAAAAAACATTAAAAGTTTGTTACGAAAATAATTTGTTTCAGAAAAGAATACAAGTTGAGAAAGAGAAAAAAACAGCTAATAAATTTTTACAGCCAAAAAAACCACATAACAAATTTTTTGACTTTAGAAAAATCAGAAAAGAAAATTTCATGGTTCCAAAATCAATAAACCAAATGAATTATGTAACCATTTTGTGTGTTTTATGTTGTTTCTTCTTCCTTGCTCAACAAACAAACAAACAAACAAAATTTTGGATCAGGAAAGTTTTGAAAATTTATGATTATTACCAAAACTTTTAATTCCAATGACAACAACAAAATGGTTTGATGGTGGGAATCGTTTCAACAATCGAAAAAAATTACATTAAAAAAATGATAATCAAAAATCAATGTAAAAAAAATGTTTTCTTGTTATACAAATGTTAACAGCATATGTTTCAAGAAAACATTTGTTGACAATCAATTGGATTCTTTCTTATTTATTTTGGATTTCAAATTTTCAAAATCCCGAATAAAAATATTATCGTTTTTTTGCTGTTGGTTGTCAGAAGTGGGACAGCGACAAAGATTTTCTTTCGGTTTATTAATTTTGTTCAAAAATTTTTTCAAAAAGAATTTCATAACGAAAAAAAAACAACAATATGAATAAGCCGAAAAGAAATTGAAAAAAAATGAACTTTGAACTTTCAATTGAACTGTGGCTTAGAGTAGAAAAAAAAACATCACGAACGGAACTGAAGAAAAAAACCAAAGGTAGAATTACACACACACACACACACATGACATTCGAATCATAATGGTGATGATAACCGATAATGATAACAAAACTACAAACCAAAAAAAAATCGACAATGGAATGTAGCACGCGCCATGAATGTCTTATCATCATCATCATCATCATTTTGATCATCTTGATTTGAATCGAAACCGGATGAAATTTTTTTTTTCATTTTGGTTTACATTCTTTAGATAAATGATTTCGTTTTTCGTTCGTGGTCACGATTTTATTTTGTTTGAATAAATTCAAATTTTTCTTTCAACTATAAACAACAATAGTTGAAGAATCCTGTTTACAAACATTCCATTCATCATTGATGATGATGATCTCGATTTCAAAACAAAACAAAAAAATTGAAATGAAAAAAAATTGAAATGAAAATAAACAAATTCAATTTTCAATAATTTTTTTGGCTGAAAATTTTCTTACATAATGTGTGAGTCGTCTTCAGCCAATCAACCAGAAAACAAAATTGAGAATCAAAACTTTCAAAAAAATCCTCAGCTATATTGACCTTGTTCTTTGGTTTTTCTTTGGTCTAAATATCCATGAAATTTCACACAAAAATATTGAAAAAAAACTATAAACGTTTCCTTTTCATTTCCAGAAAAAAAATCACCCAAAACGATCGATCGATCGATCAATCGCGAATGAATGAATGAATGTATTTTATACAAACGAATCGTAACGTAACGTAAAATTTTTTTTGAATGAATGAATGAAACATATAAACATAGACAAACAAAAAAATAACACAAATAAACATTATTTGAATCTAAACATCCATATAATGTCTACAATAAAGTTTTTTTTCAAAGATCTAGATTTCCAATGTCAACCGTCATTTATCATTGCTGTTTTTGATGATGGTTTGAAAAAAAAGAGAATCATAAAGAAGGCTACGAAAATAAAACAAATATTTTAAAGTTTTTTGTTTGTCTGAAAATTTTTTTAAACAAACCAAAAATAAAAAAAATCAATCAGATTCAATGATAAACAAAGCGAAAATATAAAATAACAACAACAACTATGCCGGCGGAAACCAGAATGGTAATTATCATTATTATTATTATATTTACTCAAAAAGAAAGAAAAGAAAATTCACAAAAAAGAAAAAACTTAAAAATCAAAGAATAAAAAAATGTTAAGATCTGAGAGAAAGAGAAAAAAGAATGGGTTTATTTCAGGCCAAGTCAACAATAATAAAAAACTTGCGAAATTCGGGTTAGAATTTTATTACACTATGTGTATAAACTGAAGAAAAATTAACATGTTTCACTTCAAATGTCCAAATGGATCCGATTCAACATTCAGAAACATTCATGGCGGTATTTGTTTTTTTTTTCGTTTTTTAGTTTGGATGGATTTTAGTTATCGTTAACGATATATTTCATGTTTCTTTTTTTTCGGTTGATTATGATGACGACAAGTCGTCATCATCGTAATCATCATCATCATAATCATTGTTGTTGTTGTCGGCAAAAGCTAAAAAGAAATGACATAAACGAAAAAAAAACCTAAACTAAACTAACCAAGAATCGATTGAGAATAGAAGAGAAAAGTGACAATTCTTTGTCCCATTTTTCAGTTGATCATATAAGAATCAATCAAAACAAAGAGATATTCAATGGATCATCAAAGAAATCAATCTGATGATGATCTTAAAAACGAAAATAACATTCGAATAAATAACAAAAAAAATGGTCGATGACAACAACGAAACAAAACAAGAAAAATAAAATGTATCGAAGCGGAACTCCAAGTGCAATATTGTTTTTGTTTTGTTGTCTATCTATCTTAGTTTGATGAATGATAATTGCTACACTGAAAAGACACTTGAAAGCAAAAAATTTTCCCATAGTTTTTTTTCAAGCAAAAAAATAAATATGGATGGATGAATGAATGAATGGATCATTTGATGTTATTTTTTTTCATTTTCCTTGTGTGTGTATACACAGAAGACAATGTGTTTGTTGATTCACCCAAATTGGTATATTGGGTTTGTTTTGGTGAGAAAAGTCAAATAATTTCTGGATGTCTTCAACAATCCAAACACACACACACACACACAGGACAAATTGGTTTTTACTTCCTGTCGTTGTCATCATCCAAAAAAATGATTCGTTTTCTTCTCTTTCGAAAAAAAACAATCAAGATATTTTCAATTAAAAAAACCCTCAAATTAATCAAATTCAGAGGCAGATGTATTTTTTTCCATTTTTTCCCTTGTTTGATCCATAAATATCTTTGATGGTCTATATGGTGGTCGATCTTTGGCGTTGATAAAATCAACAAAGTTTTAGATTAGATTTTTCTTCAACAAAAAAAAAAAAAAAAAAAAAAAAATTTGAAAAAAAAAAAAAAAAAAAAAAAATTTTTTTTTTT